TTCTTTTGGTTTTTGTTTTTAAACGGGCTTTACTTTTCACAAACGACTTGGGAAAATTTTATGAACACAATCAAATTATGAAATGTAAATTAAAACATTAACAAGCAGGCTGGAAGAACACAAATGATGACCAGAGGGCAAGGCAGAAAGTGAATCGGTAGTTGGAGACCTTCAGGGCCTGCACTCCTAGCTCAAGTTAGACAAATGAAACTTCTTCTGTCCTTCACGCCATAACACAATTCCCACCTTTAGTGGCAAATTAGAGTTTTGTGTGGAATTAGAAATTTTATTTCTTGCACTGAGTGGGGGTGGGGGTGGGAACAGAGACAAAAAGGAACTGAGATTCGGATGCTGCCTCTGAGTCAGTCTCTTTGGGACAATAGACAAGTAATTTACTTCTAAATTAGAAGTCTTAAGGTGCAAGTATCCTTATTTCAAAGTAATCTCTCTGAAGGATACTAGAATGCTTTAAGGAAGCTGGACCACTAAGCAACCCACACAGCTGACAGTAAGGAAATCCCCCCCTTGAAAGCCCCTGGTGAGTTAGGGGCCTTTTGATGATTTTTCTTGGGTCCCGAAAGTCCCTTAAGGAGCACATGTTTTATAACAGGTACTAGACATACTTGCTTATGATATAAATACACATGTGGAAGAATGGAAGGATATAATTTAAAACCTGATCTAGAATATAAACAGCAAGTTGAAATCAAACTTAGTACTCTGAATCTATATTTTTTCTTTTTTAAATTATAGAAAAATTAAACATATGATGTGAAAACAAAAAGTAAAGCTAATAATGAAAAAATAAAGTCACTCATTATTCCACCACCACAATACAAGTATTTTTGGTCTTACAACCTCCCAACCTTGCCTGCATACATACATCACTGTATGTTTAATCAGTGGTATTTATGGTCTTCTTTTTGTCACTTTGCATTATACACAGATCTTTTTCTATTTCTACATAATTTTCATCTTACAATTTTTTTTAGGGTATTATTGAAAGAGTGTTAAATGAACTGGGATCATGTGTCATTTATTATTTTATTTACCACTTATTCTTTATAATTTATTATTAAAATGAAAACATTCTTAAATGTATTGGGATACATGTAGTTTTTTTCTTATTACTGAGAAATTATTTGTAAAGCCAGTTTAAGTATCTTAGCATATAGCTTTGTATTCTTTTTGCTGTGTATATATATTCACAAAAGTGGAAAAATAGCATTTAACCATCTAGTAATTTAAGTCTTTCTCATTTTCTGGAAGATCCTTGCTTTAAAAAAGAATAAAGTTTCTTTATTTATAAAGTTGGACTCCTTGTAACACAAATTAAGTATCTTTAATTGAGACTTCAACAGGAACAAGTAATCAGTCTACTTGCCTACTTTATTTTTTCTTTTTTTATGAAGGGTGAGAAGGACGCTCATCAATGTGAGATTGCTAACTTCACCCTCCCAGGAAGGAAATGAACTTCTCCCCTTTGATCACACCCCCTCTTGATTTGAAATGCAGTTCTGTAGAACCAAGACACCCCCATCTACGGGCATGTAGAAACAGTGGGTTTTCATGTCCACAGTGGACAACTAGCCTGAGTTCCACACAGTGGGGATGGTGGATGGTGAGGAATTTAACATGGGATCATGAATTTTAAGCAAGGCCAACCTTGTAGATTAGCAAATCTGACCATAGATTCAATCTGTGGATTTACTCAGACCAGCAATGCAAGAAGGCTTACTGCTATGTTAAGCTGTGGTATGGGGCGGGGGGTGGGGGGGGGGCAGCGGGAAGAGAACCTTGCAAAACGAGGATGAACTTGGTATTGGATTCATTAATGGCATGCTTTACTTTGGTCAAGCCTTATGTGTTTATTCACCTCTGTATTCTATGAGGCCATCAAAACTATACTATCTTAAAGATGTGAGAAGTGGCATTTATATTGGGAGGACAAGATAAAGAGAATGAGCTCGGAACTGGTGGGTTGAGGCTTTTGCCCCTTGCAGAGCATTGAGGTTTGTACTTTGTCAGTCATCACAAAAGGATATTTCATCTTGGTAGACTATTTTTTTCATATGGTGTCTGTAAGGGTTTAGGCCTGATTTCAAAAACTGGGCCTATACTTCCCCTAAATGATGTTTTGTTTGACCTTCATGGTATTAACACAAGCAGTATTTAATTTTTTTTGTATCCATTGCCACTAGTTCCATGTTGGAGTCCCTGTGTGGTGCAAATGGTTACCATATGCTTAGCTAACAACTGAAAACTTGGAGGCTTGAGCCCACCCAGAAGCCCCTTGAAAGAAAGGCCTGGTGATCAGTCATTGCCAACCTGATCAGTCATTGCCAGCCTGCTCAGTCATTGCCCACCCGACACCACACAGTTCCACCCTCACACACGTGCGGTCTCCATGGGGCAGAATCCACTCAAGGGCACCTGGGTTTCGTTTTTTTATTATTATTATTTATTTAAATGTTGGGAAATGTTGGTTTCTCTTTTAAAAAATGGATAATCTGGGCTCACACCCTGCAAGGCTCCCACTCTGGTGACTCATGACTGCTCCTTTGGTCCAGGCAGGCACACTCCACTTTGATAAGCCCCTGCCACTCTTCATTGTCTCCTATGTGAGGCTGCTTTACTCTTATTACCCTGGAGGCCCCTTAGGGCCTTTAATAGCTCTAGGATTGTAGTTCAGGGGCTGGTGACTCTAGGATTACCAGTTTGCAAAGATGACTTATCTTCTTTTCAGGCTTGTTTTTGGAAGCATCATAGTTTGCCCATGAGAAATAGAATTCTGATTTGCAAGTTCAGAACACTGATGCTGTCAGTCTTAGGTCTCTGTGTGTGTGTGTGGGGGGGGGGGGCGCCCTAAACATCTACTGTTTTGTTTTTTTTTAAATAAGGAGCGCTTCATGATTCTGGTGCCTCTTAGAGTTTTGAGAATCATTTTTCTAATTCTAGCACTAAGCTTAAAATTGAACCCCGGGTAGAATTTTCTAGGGTTTTTCATTTCTTTTAGTGTTTAGTCAGTCACAGGCCTCACCAGTCTCTCATTCTGTCTGCTTTAAGTATCTCTCTTCTGGTTTTTCCAAAAATTGGCCTTAAGGATGAGAGAGGACCTGCTGGGACAGAATGCTGTTTGTCTTTTTATCAATACACTTTGAAGACAACAAAAACAAATGGAATCTTCACTTAGCTCTTTCCTATAGAAAATTATTTTTGTTTCACTTTTTCTATAACATGCCTACTATGAAATGTCATTACTATGTCCATAATTTTTGCACAAATATATTAAAGATGTGTTATATTACTAGAGGTGATGAACTGTTATAATGGTCTTTTCAAAATTCCTTTTTCCTTGAGCGTTGATAAATTTCAGGAAAAATTGTGAAAAGCTAGAAACAGGCAGAATTAGTAGCTGAACTTCACTTCTTGTTCCATTTCTGGTCTTCAGTGGCAGAGGACTGAGATTTCAACCCAGCACAGCAGGAGAAAGTAAGTGTGGGAAGAAGTAGTTCTGGGTCATATGGATACTATGATGATTCCCGTTTTAAAACCCTGGGAAATCTCCTGTCTATTTAGGAGCTCTGGTGGTGCAGTAAGGGGCTCGGGTGGTGCAGTAAGGGGCTCGAATGGTGCAGTGCCTGAGGCATTTGACTGCCAATCAGAAGGTTGCTCCACAGAGTGAAGATGGTGCAATCTACTTCCATAAAGATTTGTTGCCTTGGAAACCCGATGGGGGTCAGTATGAGTCAAAATCAGCTCCTGGCAGTGGGTTTGGTTTTGGTTTTGATGGTGCAGTGATTAAAGCATTTAGCTTCTAATGGAAAGGTTAGCAGTTTCAACTCGCCAGCCACTCTGCGGGACAAAGATGAAACAGGTTGTTTCTGTGCAGATTTATAGCCTTTGAAACCCTATAGGGCAGTTCTACTCTGTCCCTTAGGGTCGCTATGAGTCAGAATTGACTTAAGAGCAGTGGATTTGGTTTGGCTTATTTAGCTCAGAGACAGTTCAGCATGAGAAATCCTCCTTGGGCTCAGCTGTAAGGGATTCCAAATGCATATGTATCGCTGCTGTTCTTCAGATCAAGAATCTGAGGGAATCAACAGGCTCTAGTTGTGGTCCTGAGTCCCTTGAACTAGCTGTATGACTGTGGACAAGTCATTTCACCAGTTTAGGGCACAGCTTCCTCTATCAGATAAGGGATTTAGATTGGGTCATCTCTAAAATCTTTTCAGCTCTAAGATTGTGATTTTAATGAGATACCAAATTTCAGTTTAAATGTCTAAGGTCTTAGGAATTAACTGCAGACTTTATTCATGTCACCATCTTTTTTTGTTAAATTTCTCATTCTCTCTTTATACAATCCTCCCAACGGCCCACACTGCTTCCTGTTAACTCTTAGCGGAATTCTGAGAGGTTTGTGTGGCAGGGGAGGGGACTCTTTTCTCTAGGACCCCATAACCCATCTATTCTCATCAATATATTGGAAGTTCAGATCCAGGGGGTTAAATTTCTACTTTACTATCTGAGATGTCTAACTTTCAGATCACTCTATTAACATGCCTTTTTTTAAGTGAGTCTATAAGTATTTTATTTTATCATACTTGTATAATAAATAGGGTAGGTATTATACTTACATCATGAGAACAATTGTAAAAACACCAGGTGAAAATATAAAATAATATGCCTGCTACCTTAATACAAACTTTCTCAAACTCACACATTCAAATGAATGACGATTTTCCTCTCAAAGCAGTCTCTCTGGGTGACTAAGCAATCGATACTGTATTACTGGAACTGTTTCATTCAGTTTGTTAGCCACACAAGAAAGTAAGCCTGCGTTCTGTAGACATGTACAGGTGGACATTAATTTAAGAAATATATGTATTCATAGTTCAGAAATAGCATGAGATGAGATGCTAAATTCTAAGATTCATTTTTTTCTTATCATCTCACGACAGCCCAGGAATTCAAGTGGTGTATTTTCCGTAGATTTTACCATGCTTGATAGCAAGGCATGGTAAGTATTCTTCGGGAAAAACAAAGCAAGATTTAATGAAAGACAGAAATTACTGCAAACTGTCATTACCAGTTTATGGTGATTTGTATAACCGTGCTTTCGATTTCATAAACTAAAACGATAACAACTTAACCCGATGCTGCCTCCTCTAAAGTTGCCCCATTGATTATTTTATCATACAACTAATACATGTCCATTGTAGAAAAACCAGATAAGTTAAACAAAATGAAGAAAGAAGTCCCTTACCATATTGCCAACTAGGAATAAACACTATGAACATTTTACTGAGTTGAAAATAATTTTGGCTGAACTTATTTTTTTCTTGAAATTTTCTTGTTTTATTCCTTTTCTTTTCACTTTCTTAACCCCTAACCTCCCAGTAGGAACACTGGTGGCTCACTGGTTAAAGTGCTCAGCTGCTACTTGAGAGGTTGATGGCTGGAACCCACCAGCTACTCCAAGGGAGAAAAACGTGGCAGATTGCTTCTGTAAAGATTATAGCCTTGGAAACCCTGTGGGACCCTCTGTCCCATAGGGTTGCTATGAGTCAGAATCAACTCCATGGAAGTGGGTTTGGTTTGGTTTTGGGTGACCTCCCAGTGTTGAATTGGATGGAGCATTTATGTGCAATAGCTGAGCACCAGGGTCTCCTTGAATAAATTCCCTTCTGAGCTTTGGTTAGAAGCAAAATATTTCACAGTGATCACTGTAGGTATCGCTGTCACAATTATGTGTTAACCCACATCTCAATCTCCTGTCTGTGCTGAGTACTGAAAAATCTCACTGTTTACTCATTTTTGCCATGTGAGGACTGGCATTTTTCACCACCACATACTGTTGGGATTTTTTCTTTCTTTCTTTTTTTAAAAACTCTTTGCTCAATAAGAACAGGAAAAAAAAAAGGTTATTTTTTACTTCCTTTTCAAATCCTAACTCATCTCTCAGGGTTAACTGCTGCACTGACTCTTAGGAGTAACCCTAGTGGGCCTCGGTAAGCAGTTCCTTCAGTAGCTTGTTTAATTTGATCACTAGCATGTGACTGGAGCTGCCTGTGTGAGATCTTATTTGTAAATGAGGATTTACATTTCCTGGGAAAGTGTAAAGGAGCCATGATTAAAGTGCTTGGCTGGTAACCAAAAGTTTTGTTGTCAAAACTCACCAGCCACTCAGCAGGAGACAGATATAGTAGACTGCTTCTGCAAAGATTGTTGTTGTTGTTAGGTGCCATTGAGTCAGCTCTGACTCATAGTGACCCCATGTACAACAGAACGAAACACTGCCCGGTCCTGTGCCAGCCTCACAATCCTTGCTATACCTGAGCCCATTGTTGCAGCCACTATGTCCCCTTGGAAGCGAGAATGGCCAGACTTCGTCTCACTCACTTTGGTCATGTTGTCAGAATAAACCATTCCCTGGAGAAGGATATCATGCTGCAAAGATTACAGCCTTGGAAACCCTATGGGGCTGTAACATCTGCCTTGCAACGTTGCTATGAGTTGGAACTGACTTGACGGCAGTGGGTTTCATTTTTTGGTTTGGTAAAGTATGGAGAGACTAGGGGGAGGGTCATCATCTTCTGAATCTGGCCATTCCTGTGTCATTTCTTCTATTTCTTCAATAACTTCATCAACTATGAAAAGTGATTCATCACAGATGCAGCAGGCAATTAATAAATATCCAATTCTTCTCTCAGTTTCTCCTCATCTGATATGTCAAAGGCCAAACACTCAGGTGCCCTGTTCCTGAGACATTCAAAGGGAGCAAAGGTTCTGGTGTAAGAAGGCTTCCTGTTCCTAAGTGTTTGTCTGAGCATTCCGGCTCCTGGCCCCCAAAAGAAGTGAGCTGTCTGGCCGTTCTCAGAAACACAGCATCCAAACTGGAAGGAGGGAAATAAAGCCTCACTTTCTTCCCAAGTTGCAGAGCCCTGGCTTTGGGGGTCCTGCCACAGTTTTTTCACACTGGGTGCCTTGGCACTGATTCAGATTCTCAGAGAAATCCTGCCAGATCCCCCCTGTCACCACCACCCTCCCAAAAATATACTTGTTTTGAAGGTTCATTGTGTAATTAACACTCAAAGCTTCTTGCCAAAAATGGCCTGATGACAAATTGGGTTGGGTGCGTACCTAGATGGAGTAAAAATTTGGGTCTCAAGTGCTGGGTCTGAATCCTCCTTTAGCCACTCCTAATGGTAGCATAGTGCCTAAGGCACTTGACTTCTCAGCAGAAGGCTGGCGGTTCAAACCCACCAGCCACTCCTTGGAAGGAAGGTTGGGCAATCCAACTCCGTAGTGATACTGCCTGAGAAACCCAAGGAGGGGTCCAAATCGACGGAAAATAACAACAACAACAATTGTGAGTTATTGGCAGCTCTGTGCTCAGCTTCCTCAACTATAAACTAAGACAATAATAATCCTTCATGCACAGGTGTTTTGTAACTATCAACAAGGTGATATATGTGAATGAACCTTGTTAAAGGCCAGGCAGTTTTCATTGTTCAAGTTGTTTCAAGTTGTTAGTTGTTCAAGTTGATTCTGACTCATGGTGACCAACAGGTGACAGAGCTGAACTGCTGCATAGTTGAACCGCCACATGGAATTATCTGTCCTTAAGGGAACAACTGGCCAAGTGTTTCTCCCACAGAGCTACCGGGTGCCTTCACACCAGTCTTTTGGTTAACAGCCAAGCACTTCATCATTGGCTCACCAGGGCTCCTTTCAGGAATATTCCAAAAATAAAAAAATAAGGGCAGAGGCATTTTATCCAATGTTGATATTCTTATTTTTTAAGTAGTTACATTTCATTAGATTACAGAAATCAGAGGTCTATCTATCAAAATTCATCCTATAAAGTAATGGTTTAGGGGCAAACTTTTTTTAAGGAAAATATGGTCATGTGCTTAAATGTGTGCAGCCAGTGTTGATGGAGTTCCGCCCACCCAGCAGCACTGCAGGAGGAAAGGTCTGGCAAGCTGCTTCCCTAATGATTACAGCCCAGGAAAGCCTATGGTGTCACTGTGAGTTGGAATTGACTTGAAGGCACAAGACAGTAACAACAACATTGTACCCGTACTATGATAGAGACAGATGTCTGAAGTCTTTTCCAGTAAATTCAACCCATTTTTCAGGCCTTTTCAGCTTTCCTGAAAAAATAAATAAATAAATGGACTTTCAAGAGCATTTAGTTCTTTGTGAGTTTCTGGCCTTGTTACAATAAAAACACCTCAGTTTCTGCCTGAAAGTTTGGGTTAAATCTTTGCATACTGCAAACCCGAGTTCCTGCAAAACCTCTAAAAAAAAAAAAAAAAGTGTAGCAAGCTGTATGGAGAGATGCTGGCATCATCTCATGAAACAGTCACAACAAACTCCTCAGGCCCATCTTTTTATTTTGACATAGTTCTTTGACGATAACAGCAGAAAAAAGTTTTCTTGTAATTCGACTCTGCAAATAAGGCATGATCTATCTGATAAGTGGTGGGGTTGGGGCTGGCATCTGTGTTTCATGGCCAATGATATGTTGTATCTCTTCACTTCTCTACTCCAGGTTTCTCAAATTCTGAATGTATTTTGGACTTTGGATTTTGATTTCTATTCAGAAATGTCAAAGCTAAAACAAAATGAATTAAGAAATAAGTTTCTTTTAGGCAGCTCCAGTAAATTGAGTATATGTGCGTTTTTCCAGAAATAGCACTAATGGTAACAGTCCACAGAGTATGCTGGTCCCCTTGAACACTTGACCATTTAAATCAGGAATGCAGACTTGCTAATAATACTGTCCTGTGAAACTAGCATATGAAGGACGACAGGGCATATAGGCGCACACACATAGTAGGACGTGTCAATTTTGACTAGTCCAATCCCTCTAAATCTCTTTGACTTTAGTCTGTGTCATGTTTTGTTTTTCAGAACATGTTTTGTTTTTGAGAAGCCAGAATAGAAAAAGAAGGAAAACAAATAATGCTTTCCCATTAGCTCCATTTGTCACAAGGCAGATGGCTGGCAAGAGAAAGAAATTGTTCCTACTCAGTTTGATTGTTTCAATTCAGTTTCAATTTTCTGTTAAAGAGAAGACCTAGTGATTTCTTCTAACTAAAGAAGAATTTCCACGTTGGTTTGAGAATTTTCATGCATTGGCAATGTGTGGAATACCAAACCGTTAGTAAAATTAATCTCTAACTGCCAAAAAGAGCGATAGGGTGGTTATAGAATTGTTAGTTGTCGTCCAGGTGATTCTCAGAGCAACCCCATGTGTGCAGGGTAGAACTTGACCATGGGGTTTTCAATCCTGTGATCTTTTGAAAGGAGCTCTAAAAATCTGAACCACATTCGTTTGCACAAACAGATAAAGTTTCAAATTTTCAGGGCTTTCAGTCCCATGACTATTTACCTAGATAGCTGTAAGTGAATGCCCCAGTGACTGACGCTTTCAATCTCATAAATATTTCCTCGTGTCCTTAATTCAGTAACCAATCAGTCCTTACCTACTGATTCTCTGATCTAGAAGAACAGCCAGTGTTGATGGAGTGACAGGATGACCTTCAACTGTAAGAAGTGGAGACCTGTCATCCTGAAACAAAAACTTATACTAATAAAGATTTTTTTTTGTGTTCAAAACTTTATGTTTTGCCTTAGAAAAAGATGGCAAATTTGATTGTGCTTTGAAAAATAAGGTATACAAATATAAAGTGTAGTGTATCCCCAAATTGTAATGCATCACATGTCACATGTCTGTGTTCAAATCTTTTTTTTTTTTACTTTAACATCTATTTTCCATCACAAATAATGCTAGTCATCTATATTCTCAGAACCTGGCACGTAGTAGGTGTTCAAGAAATGCCTGTTGGATTGAAAAGGTGATGGTTTAGTATGAAGCTTGAATATTTCAGCAAAATTTTTCTGATCTGTGTGCCAGTTCCGTTTGTTCCATACAGTAGATTGATTATATATTGAAAATGAGCTATACTCTATGTTAAGTTCAGCAGTCTGAGTAGGGGAACAAAGACCACAATAGCAGCTAGGAAGCTTAGACAAGTTCTAGCTTCACCTTCTGCTAGTGAGTAAGCCTGGAAAAGTCAGATCATTTCTTGATGCTGTGATGTCATTTTCCCTCTTGGAAGTCTGGATGTTGGAAAGTCATCTTTAAATGCATCCATCCAAGGAGCAAAAGTGGACAATCAGATCCCTCCTTCCTCAGTCATAAGGACCACGGTAGCTTGTGGCCTGAAGGGGATACAGGCTTTGGTAACAAAGAACAAAGTGTTAACTAAGAAGAGCTGGGGGCTCCCAGGCAGTGTTTAATAATAGGTGTGCAACATTCAGTTGCTATAGCAACTAAATAACTTTCTGTCCCTCCCTTTCAAAAGATCACAGCCTTGAAAACCCCATGGGACAGAAAAGGCAAAGGGGATAGGAACAGATCCAGGAGTCAACCGCAAGGAGCCAGGTGAGGAAAGGGAACCCAGGCCACCCCCAACAAGTAGCAAGGCGGGAAGCAGGGAGAGGACAGAAGAGGCAAAGGGGACTGGAACAGATTGAGGAGTTAGCCACAGGGATCCAGGTAAGGGTGGTTGGAGGGGTTTCCAACAGCTAAGGGAGACAAACTTGTCTGTCGGTTTGTCCTACTGTGGTGACGTGTTGCTGGGAGTCTTGAGGCTGTGCCACTGGTGTTTCAACCCAGTGGGGTGCACCTGTTACACAGGTATCAGCCCGGCTTGCAGACTGAGACAGACTAGGAGGAAAGAGGAGGCCATCCACTTCTCAAAGAACTGACCCGGGAAAACCTTATGAATAGTAGTTGCTATAGCAGGGAGACAAAAAAAGACATGCCATGAAAACGATGAAAAATAATCTCTGGAAAACAAAACTTAGGACCAGTCGTTTATAATTTTTTTAATCATTGGTAATAAAATTTACATATTTTACCTAAGAGAAGAGATTATTTGAATTTATATTTAAAGAGACAAAAAAAAAAAAAATACTTATGACACGAAGGAAAGAAACCAACCTAAACTGTTGATTCAATGGCCATATATAAAGAGGGAAGGAATAGAACATGCTATAAGGTAAACATTAGGGTTTGTAGAAGTGATCACTTTTTTATTTTTTATCCTCACAACAATCCTTTAACACAGAAAGTACCACTCTTACTTCACAGACGAAGCCGCTGAAACTCAGAGAGCTTTTCAAACTTGCCTAAGGTCACAGTATTAGTAGCAGAACTGGGTTTCAAACTGTAGTAATTTCTAAAATGCATATTTCTTTTTCCTGCTCCACTCTGCTGCTTCTCATTGGAACTTCATGATGATGGTGACAATGACAATGATGATGATGGTGATGATGAGGCATTTATTTATTATATGCCAGCTACTGAGCTAAGAGCATAAAGCATATTATCCTTTTAATTCTCACAACAAACCTCTGAGAAGGAGTTGATTTTTACTTTACAGATGAAGAAACTGAGACTTGGAGAACTTAAGTTCTCCAACTTAAGTTACTCCAGTCACAAGGTTGGTGATTGGGAGACAGCCTTCACTTTTGCAGTGGCTCCTACCATCCACAATCCTGTTCCCAGTATTGTTGGAGAATCCATGGCCTTGGCTGCCGTTGATCTGCTCCTTTTTGGGAAGAGTCGCAAAAAAGGACAGAGTTCACGTTGACTTTGTGCCATGGCACAAACAGTCATTTTAGGTAAGTTATGCCTGTTTACAAAGTTGCTTAGTTCAGAAGTCAATAAAATTTTCTTTATGCTTATCTTTTACAGATACTTATCTTGATTGCTGGAAGTGTTAATGCCCAAGTGACTGCTGTCAACCATGAGGGGTTGAAACTAAGGAAGAATGTTATTAAACGTGAAATTGGGTGCAGGGAAGGCCTGCATCCTGCAGACCAAAGTCATGAGAACCATCTGTGCTGTCAGCCGTGTCCTGCTGGTATGTTACTCAAAACATCCAGAGTTTAGAAGGAAAATCAGGGTGAGGAGTAGAATATAGTAATATGAATACAATATGTTCACCACTTTTAATCCTTCACTGTAACATTATAGGGGGAAAAAATCTACAAGATTATCTTCCCAAGACCAGTTTATTTCATCTTTATCATATTTGGTTGACATCGTTATGAATAAATTATATTTTATTTGTGTTTTGTTCTGTTGTTCATAGGGTCACTATAAGTCAGAATTGACTTGATAGCACCTAACAACAACAACAGCAATTTATACTCCAACAGTGGTATATGCAAGTTCTCATCTTAAAAGCAAACTCACCAGGGATGAGATCACTTCTTAAACAAAAACATTATTATTATATTTATTCATAAACATAAATAAAATATAATTGATTCATAATCATGTCAACCAGATGTGATAAAGATGAAATAAATTTGTTTTGGGAAGATAATCCTGTAGATTTATAAGATTACAATGGCATATACCTCTGAAATGAGAGGATTTGTCTAGTTAGCTCAAATTTTCAAGAGTAAAGGAAGTCTCATTTGTGAGTATTGAGTGTGTGTGTGTGAGAGAGAGAGAGAGATTTGGGTAAAGTTTACAGAGCAAAGCAATTTCATTTTCCATACAGCAGTTCATACACATTTTGTTTCATTACATTGATTGGAGTCCCCGTAATGTAACAGCTCTTTTCCCACATCCTCCTTGTGTTTACCACTTCTATCCATCCTTCTTTCCTGTCCCTCCCTGCCTTCTGAGCTTATTCCTGGGCAAATGCTGCCCTTTTGATCTCATATGGTTGATTGTTCTAAGGGTTCATGCTTTTCTGGTGTTATTGGTCCCATTACATGCCTGTCTATCGTTTGGCTGAAAGTTGAGCTTTGGGGGTAAGTTCAGTTCCAGGCTTGAAGGGTTAGTAAGTGCCATAGTCTTAGGAGTTCTACCAGTCTCTATCAGACCAGCAGGCCTGGTCTTTTTTGTGATTTTGAATTTTGTTCCACATTTAACTCCCACAATTTTAGATTTGGGGATTCTAAAATAGGCTCTCCTATTTTGATCCCTTTCAGAGTGGTTGACAGTGGTAGCTGGGCACCATCTAGTTCTTCTGGTCTCAGTCCTGTGAGTACTGAGTTTTTCACATCAGAACTGATGAGGACGTATAACAAAAATTGTGGCACTCTGGAAACAAGTGATTTCCACCCGTCAGATATGTGTCTCAGCACTTCCTTTCTATCAAAAGCTGTTTGTCCTGGCACTGAAGCCTGCAAAATATATTTGCATTTTGCAGTTGAATAGCTCGATGAGTTAGAAAAGCAATGGACAAAAACCAACATTTAGAAAAATCAGTATTTTGAAATGCAAAACCAATCTCACATCGGAAATCCTTCAAACACTAGCAAAGTAGAAGCAAAGCAAGATGCGTGGTGCAAACCGTTTCTCAGCTTGGAGTAGAGTTGGCTGCTACTTCATTCAATTATGGATCTCTCTCAACAGCATGTGAAAGAGAGACAGGAAGATAAAAGCAGACAACACATGAGTGATACTGTAGATTTGTGCAACATGAGAGGACCGTGGAAGGTCTCATGGTTGACCTCCCAGGCTTCTAGCACTTGAACTGCAAACTCAAGTAGGCCCTGTTTACAAAAAGACTCAGCAGTCGCCCTTGGCCTCCAGTCTATATTTGTATAACCTTTATGGAAAGTCTCTGTTATAATCTGGCTCACTTAAGCCAATTTGCATTTATCCTTCACAAACGGGGACTAAAGAAGAACTTCTTGACTTTTTATAACATGGTAAACACAAGCGATTTTTCATATGAATTGAAATCTTAATTCAATTTTCAGTTTGCAATCAATTTTTAGAAACTAAAATGCAAACTAAAAAGAACATGCTTTGTGTATGAAACTGTCAAGGATTTTTCTTTGTTTTGTTTTGCTTGTTTTATTTTGTTTAAGAAGTGATCTCATCCCTGGTGAATTTACTTCTAAGATGAGAACTCTCATATGCCACTGTTGGAGTGTAAATTACTGTCGTTAGGTGCCGTCAATTCAGTTCCAACTTACAATGACCTGTGTGCAGCAGGGCAGCACACTGCCCAGCCTGCACCGCCTTCACAACCGCTGCTGTTTGAGCCCATTGTTGCAGCCAGTCCGTCCGTCCATCTCACTGAGGGTCTTCCTCTTTTGTGGCTGACACTCTACTCGACCAAGCAACATGTCTTTCTCCAGGAACTGATCCCTCCTGATAACATGCCCAAAGTATGTGAAGTGAAGCCTTGCCGTATTTCCTTCTTGAAAGCCATCAGTTACTCCTTCCTAGACAGATTTGTTTGTTCTCCTGGCAGTCCATGGTATATTCAGTGTTCTTTGTCAACATCAGACTCAAAGTCTTCAGCTCTTCTTTGTTACAATCTTTTAAAAAAGAAATTGGTACATATGGGTTAAAAACTTGAAAATGTTGATATTCTCTGACATAGTAAACTACTGTTAGGAAAATGTTTTAAGAGAACAGTAAAAAATTATAAGAAAATATTGTGTGTGACATTTCATTATGGTACCCCACAATGTGGGACTAGTTAAGTAAATTATGACATATGCAAAGGCTTGAATACTATGTATCAAAATCATGTTTTATGATATATTTCTAGTATAATCCTCAATGTATATAAACTCTGTTAAGTGATTACCATTCAGTCAGCCCGGGGATAACCGACTCTCCATTCCCTCCCTAAACGGTACTGAATGGTGTCCAACATGTGGTGAACACCCTTCCCACTTCTAGTCCTTCTTGTTAAATCCTAGACTTACCAATATTCAATTGGATTCAGATCTGTTTATGCCTACTGGCTTTGTTCAAATATAATTTAAACAAATATTATATAAATCAATGATATATAAAAGCAAAAAGTGACAGATTTTGTTACTTTGAAAGCTAGGTTAAATGCTTTAGATAATTTCAATAAAGGTGAGTTGCTAATTGGTTGTTGATAAATCAGATGAGGGTAAATAACTGTATCATTTCCTGATTTTAAAAAATCTAGAAAGACTTTCATACATATTACTGGTCTCTTTACTTCTTTCCCCACAAAAAAAAAAAAAAGAAAAAAAGAGAGAGAGAAGGAGAGAGAGAAGCCAGGAAGAAAAGAAGGGAGCTAAATGGAAGTTATAGGTGATATGTTATGGTCATGACTTAAAGTAAAAAGAATTTGGAATTCTAACAACTGTATATAATAAGATGGATAAATGTCTTAGTTACCTAGTGATGCTATAACAAAAAAAAAATATTTAAATGACTATACAGTTACACTTTATAAAATAAAATGTTTGCAGTATTTTTTTTCAATAATTTTCTGTTTCTCTGATAGCTTGATCAAAAAAGACCACATCACCAACAAAAAGGATTCTATAGTAGTATACTGCATCCCTATTACATATATGGATGCATTATATACACACACATTCTCATATATACATGTATGTTTGTGTTTTTATAGGCACAGGAATGCACTGTGGTGGTTATGTTTTTGTGCCAACTTGGCTGGGCCTGGTTGAGTGGCTGGGCAGCTGGTGGTAGTTATTCCCCATGAGACTGGCAATCAACTCCATGGTGGGATCTACCACAAGCAGCGGAGTAGCTGCTTTGGGTATGTGGTCTGCTTCCATATATAAGAAGCACTTTGGGAATGGTCTGTAGCCTATGGCACGCTTGGACCCTGCATGTAGCTGTATCGTTGCTCAGCAGCCTGCTATGCTCTGCCAACCTTGGTACTTACAATGGACTTAAGTTAATGGCCTGTCATGTGGTTTGGTAACATTGGGACTGTGTCTTTTTATTTGTCAACCTTGGGGCTTCTCAGCCTCAGCAGCCAGCAGCTGTCTGAGTGAAGAAACACCTCTAGCTCCAGTGGGCTGGGAGCAGGAGGCAGAGCTGGACCCTGAGGTTGAAGGGCTTTCACCCAGCCCCTAGAGCCTGGCTCTTTGAACTTGGACTTAAAGCCTCCAAATTGTA